CAGGGCAAATGTCGATTCGAGTGCTGCATGTTTCATTGCGTTTCATTGTTTTTCTTTTTGCCTTTTCTTATCCCTACGCTTATACATGTCGCAAGTGGAAGCCAGTTTGATTTCTTTACAATGTAACTTGCGATTTTGCTGAGGATATGGGCATGCCCAACTGTTACAGCTATCTATGTAACGATTATACAACTAATATTACATTAAGATAACAATAAATTTATTTTCAGAAATCGTATATCAGTTTGCATCAAGTAAAGGGCGAAGACTTTCGAAGAGAGATTAATATCTAAGATCATGTAACTGTGAGAAATGAAAGTGCTTACGTTTGAGAAAGATCTTCTTTTAATCGAACTAAATATCTTTTTGAAAAACATAATTAGAGTTTAGTATTAAATTCAGTATTTTTTGCACGAGAGTAAATTCGCTAGTAATATCCATACAGTTTGGAAGTGCTAAAGTTTAAGAGCATGACTTTAGAATAATTTCTAGTACGACACTATGACTATAGTGTTACATATAAGTTTGTAACGCTACGAATAGGAAGCACGATAATTGGAGGCAGCGGCAGATATTTTTAAATTCATTTTGCCTTTGATCAATTTTTTTCCAAATCCATTGTTATAACAATCTATTAATAATCAACACAATCTGAGATATACAAATAGATCACCCCTAAAATTTGAGTCTCGCTAGCGAACGAGACCTTGACCTGCTAAATAGTCATACGATTCGCGAATCGCGGTCGACTTCTTAGAGGGACTAGTTTTTGACATGAGATTGCATAGCCAGCCTTACCATTTTGTCCCGCTATGTAAATTTCGAGAATAATTTTTCATGTCTTTAGAAATTCATTGTTTTCACAATCAATGAACACAAAAATATTAGCATAAGGGGACAAATTGTCAGGCTCGCTACGCTACTCAAATATCCTTCATTGAAAATTTAATACGTATTAAATGTTTGGTTTCGTTATAATAAAACCTTGTTCTACATTCATGAAAAATGTCACGCTATGCTTGCAAAATGCATGTGCGAATTTGAAGTCTCATTGCATGTTGACCACGACACTTCACTGAAATATCTAATAATTGAAAAGGGAAAAAAACTACAACTTTTTGAAACCAGCAAACTTCAGAGGACTCGTCTTCATGCATGCATTTTCTTTCTCCCTCTCTCTCTTTTCCTCTCTCTCTCTCTCAGCCATTAATCTCAAAATTCTCAATTAGTCATTTAATTTTATAGATCTTTGTTGACATATATAATGAATGAAAGTGTGAATAAAGTGCTTAAACACTCGAGTGATTGCATAGATTGCCTTAGCCAATAATGTGGCTTATTTATTTATTATTTGGATGGCAGTATTTTACCGAGGACGAAAACACTCGTAGAACTCATACACCATATATAGTATTTACTAGAAATACATTGCATGCAAAGTCCCCTCGCCTGAAGCAATAAACTTATATTTCCATCACTGAAATTCTATGATACTCGCGGTTTCTGCTGAATGATCGAAGCCGTGTAAGTAAAATCCTATATCTTGGTACAATTATAAGGTCGACTCTCGAGCTATCACATTCAACTATAATCGTAATTCATTAATTGTGGTACGAATAGTTTTAAATAGTACAATTTTTAGCGAAATTTCAATTCCTTTTTAAACAGATTGACCTTTAAAAATAAATGTTTTCCCAATCAAAATCATTTTAACGAAATTGACGAATAAATTCAAAGAGGTGTCGTACGTTTGTTCATAAATTTACAAGTTAAACTTACGAAATACTTGCATGCTCTAAAATACAAAATCTACCTATTTACCTGTTCAAAAACACTCCAAAAATGCTTTAAAATCGTAGATTTTTCACCATCTATTTGAATCAAAGTTTTTCTATCGGAAAGCATCATCTACTTTACATTTTAATCATTTTTACGAGTGAATTTTTCCGTATATTTTCAAAACCATCCAAATGAAAAATATTTTTTAAAAAGTATAATTCAAAATATCAGTTATGCTGACGCGAACCAAAATTTTAATTTAGCCAATCGCACGCTTGCAAACGTTTGCTCGTTACCAGTTTTAGCTCGTCTTAAACTCACGCATGCGCATAACTTACAAAAACGCCCAACGTCCATGACATAATGGCGGACAACTTTCATTTCGCATTTGCATTTCCGGGTGTAATCAAAATTTCTGGGCGGAATTAGTATCCTCGCCCGGTGCTTCGCACCGGTTCGGGGATTATATGTGTATAGTGATTTATGCACAGCAGAATGATGAAATAAAAATCGCATTTCACTGTGTAAATTAATTTCATGCAATTTGATTGGACGTACGATGTTTTTCACGTGTGAAAAAATGCCATACACGGCTTTTGATTGGACGTACGATATTCTTCACACATGAAAAATTGTCGTATGTCATTTTGGCGGCAATTTGTTTATATTTTCTTTCAAGATGGCGTCGAAATATAGGAGTGAGATTCAAAACATAATTCTCATATTCACGATATTTTTACATTCAGCACATCTCAAATATTTCGGAAAGAATCTTTAACTTCTATTGAACAAAATTACAAAGAAACGGAACGGTAGTAAATATGTTTTCATGCATAAAGTTTCGATTTTGTTGTTCACTGTGTTTTTGTATATTAAAAGCGTGTCGTTGTCAAATTGATCTCTATACACATTTAATAAACAAATTACTTCATGGTTGGCTCGTTTGTACGATTTTTATTATGCACTCGTTGCGAAGGATCGCAAACTTACTCGTTGCTGCGCTCACTCGTTCGTATTGCGATCCTTCGCAACTCGTGCATAAAAATCGTACACACTCGCCAACCATGAAGTAATCTCTATATCCATGCACGGGGTACAATGCGCGTATTTTCCGTATGTCACGTTAGGAGTGACATAACGAGTTTGGGACACTCTCCCGCCATTTTTATTGCTGTTTTTGTGAGAATAAAAGTTGGTTGGTATATGAAACGATATTATCATCTTATACATGTTTACATAAATAAAATCTATTCTACGTATGTATATAATTTAAAAACATTCGCTCTTATAATTGTTTTTCGCGGCTTATTCACTTGTCGTCTTTTACTTTGTCTGTATACTTTAGCCACTCTGAATTTAGGCTAGAGATTTTTGAGGTTATCGAGAAACTAGAGCTCAAAATTACCGTGATGCGTTGCGCCAATTTTAGAACTTTTAAAATGGATGCAAGATTTTTGTTATTTTTGTAAATCTGGCCGTGTTTTGGAAATAAATCAGTAAAAATGTTGTGCAGAAGTGGTTAGCCTATATTTTTCATGATATGATTTGTTTTAGGATTCATTTCCAAGGCCATCACGACGAATCTTTAAGTTAATCTAAGAGCAAGTTTACATGGAGCGAGTTATCCCTGATATAGGCGGGAGAAAAATTTGACATATTTTCCGTTATTCTATAAGCTTTTACATTCTACAGATTGATTAAACTCAAACTGAGTCATCCTCAAACAATATACTAGGTCAATTTTGTTTTGAAAAATTGTAAAAAAAATTGTTTGCTTCCTTCATATAGTGACCCGCTTATTTTCGCTACATTTCTTGAAAACTGCCGTAATAGACCGGCGTTACTGCTGATCAATTGCGAGATGAAAAACAGAGTAATTCTGGATGCAAAAGAAACCAATAAATGCTCAAGAGAAAATTTAATTGCTTTTAGAAATTAATAAGACGTCTTCAGACAATAAACTAAATTATAGAATATTTTATTTGGTTTTTATCAAATGCATACCAGGCTAGTAAACGAATTGCATTTCTTGATTGTTAGTTTCGAGTGCATAAATATATGCCTTGTGCCATATAATAAACTTTTTTATTAACCCCGCTTGCTCGACCTACCGGGAAATATCGGACCTATTGGAGCTCGGTCTGTTCAAAAAGACCTCGGTCTAATATTTATAAAAAGTTATTAAAATGTTTACAAAGGACGGGATGTTATGTAAACATTGCATAACTTCCTCATAGTGGTGAAGCATGCATAATCGCATTAATCACGTGCACATATCGTTATGAAGCATATATTTGCTGGCACCTATTATATATAACAATTTTTATTAAATTAGACTTGTTACCACACCATCTTTTATTCCCAAGAAACATTTTTTTCATTTCTTTTTTCCTATATTTGGTTTATTTGCGATTGGAGAATATAACAGACTCGGCACATGAAATCGCGCGAAGTGAAAATTAAGCCTAAATTATATGGTTGGTATATATAGCAATATGACAAATGTCCTCACATTGAGTAACAAACTTAAATCTTATGTTGACAATAACGACACTAAGGTAAGAATATTCTTAGAAATTATAGCAACAATCAGTTATAGATCTCGTTTTTATTTAATGTAAAGAAGCACTTCCGTCTTATGTGGTGAAGATTGTTAGTAGCCTACTAACGGTTTGTCTGTTTACTTGCCTACAGTTGCTACTAATATTAAGAATCCAAGTCCAGATATAAACAGCAACTATAGTTTTTTCGTTATATGTATGCATGAGAGACGACATGCAGACGTCAATCTCCCGCATCGTACTCTGGTTTATTTGAACTATAGGAATTGAATGCTTATACTTCTTTCATTGAGCATAAATTTAAGTGATTAAAATTATCCAAAGTCTTAACCACAAAGTTTTGACGTTAGTGAAAATGAATATTGCAGTTTTGTTATATTCGGTATAGCCAAAAAGTCTAGTCATATGCGCTATTGCATGTGTAGAATGGAATGCGGTAAATAATTGAGAAATTTTACGTTTATTTATCATAAGGGTTTTATTGAAGAGCCGAGTTTCTATTACTACAAAAGAGGTTTAGATGTCAAGTTGACGCCAACGCAGTATACGCCTTATAAGTAGACATTCCATACGTCGAAAGTGAATTGGATCCGACAAAATTGGATCGTGGGAACGGACATGCATTTATATATGTCATTGCTGTGGGAAAACGACCAATGGAATCAGGACTTACTGCTATATATAAGGACAAACGAGTACAGGAGAATTATGACATATATCAAAATTAAAGTTGTACTCCAATTTCAAAGCATGAATGATATTAAATACGGAAACTATGGTATGATACAGAGAGCTTAAAATAAAACGGTGAATTTATTCTAAATACGCTAATCCATCTATTTATGCGGTACTGCATATACGTTTATTTATCATAAGGGTTTATATATATATATATATATATACATTTAGTTTCGATCGAGATCGAAATTACATGTATACATTTAGTTTCGATCGAATTTTATATCATTCAGAAATTTACTCTATCGGCGGGTGGCAAGAAATCCTCACAATGGCCATTATAATTACAATTCGATAGCTTTCCAAACAGGAAAGTTTTGATCACTAAAGCAGTAAAATGCTGGCTAATTTGACAAAAACAAGGAAAAACCCGTTCCTTTAATTTAGTAGATTTCAATCAAAGTTGGTTTATATTTCAGATCAATTCAAAAGGTGTAGTCTATAGGGATCAAATAGCATGGAGGCAAATCATGAGGTCTGTTAGGCGTTATTAAAATCAGCAGCGAAATTATGCAACCATGGTATATTATTTATTTCGATTTTGATGCGTTGAATTGATTCAAAATTCTTTTAACTTCTTTGTTACAGACTAAAATCTTTCAAATGAAGATGATTACAACTGGAGTCATATTTGGTTTTTTATTCTTTCATTGTGCCAGTGGTAGGTACTAGCTACTGCGTATTATACATAAACGTAATAAATTATTTTGGACGTAATATTTTGTAATATTTTTATAAAAATGCCGCGCTGTTCATTTCCGTATACAGCTATGTATAGTCGGCATATAGTCCCTATTATAGAATAACGGAAGACTGCATGTTTTCCTACTTAGTACGAAGAATTCGTCACCGCGATTACAATACCGTGCTTGTATTTTGGATTAAAAATGGGTAACAACAGTTACTTTTCATTGCAAATCAAATAATAATCAAATAATAGGGATTATTACCAACGTGTGCGAATATACATATTACGGAAATATATTAACCTCTTATTAACCGAGCGCGAGGTCTTACCAATAAATATCGGACCGAAGTCTTTCTTTTTGAACAGGAAGTTACGCTTGCCATATAATAGTACGAATTAATGCTATAGGAATCATATTATATGTTAATTTATAGCTTTCTAACACGGTAAATAAATTTGTATAAGTGGCTTCTCGGTCTGTAGAAGAGATACGGCAATTTTTTCCTATTTTAAATAAGCCTCATGATTTTTTCTAAATTTTTTTACGCATTTTTGTTAACGAATTACTTTTCATAATCAATATATTTTCCAATGAAATTATCTGACATTCGCTATTTTTCATATGCATATTAATGATCGGCTTATTCTGACAACGGAGATTATTTTGAAACAGAATTTATTCTTGCTCACTTGATCCAATTCGCTTAATATGTTACTGCAGCGATTTCCAGTTGAGCGTGGAATTGCGAAAGTTTGTTGGTTGAGTTCTGTAGTTTCAGAGCAATGATTCTAACGTCATCTAATAATGTTGCCAAGGGACGCTGACCATGGGTAAGGGTAAAAAACGTAAGCGCAATGGCGAAAGCCGATTGGCAAAAGCGAAAAAAGAGGTAAACACGGAAGCGGTAAAAAGGTAAAACGCGGAAAAGAGGGTAAAACACGGAAAAAAGGGTAAAACGCGGAAAAAATGGTAGAACGTGGAAAAAGGGTAAAACGTGGGAAAAGGGGTAAAGCGCAGAAAAGAGACCATTCCGCTTCGGCGTTTTCTTTTACCCCCTGGCCAAGTTGTCAAGGGAAAACTGTCAATTTTTTTACTATAAATAGAAGAATATGTCCATTTTAGGCAACTGTTATACAACATTTGATGCTAAGTTGTTTGAAGACGCTGCCACGGTTATATGCTTCCTGGTTATATTCCAAAATAAATAAAAGATCTGCATGTATAGCGATTAATAGCCGCTATTTTTAAAGTAGTTTATTTATAGCTGTTAGTCAAAAACTTGACATTTTTTCTTGACAACTTGGTCCGCGTTACCTAAAAATATAATTAGAAGACGTCACAAACATTTCTTTAAAACTACAAAACTTAGCGAAGAAACTTTCGCAATTCCCGCTCAACTGGAAATCGCAGAATATATTAGAAGCTCTCATTTTAAATGCTGTATACCTTAGTACCTCACAACATTACCGTTTTAAATTTAGAACCACCTTAACTGAGATGGATTATAAATTTTACTCTCAAAAGGTATGAAAGATGCAAAACTGAGATCCTATGAATTCAAAACGATAAAGTTGTGACGTAATTATCGGAAGGGTCTAGTATTTGTCATGGGTTTCTAAAAAACATTTTTAAATAAAATCCACCAATGCGATTATAATTTTCATCTGTAGTCATATATTTCTTAACTCTAAATTCGCCATTGGTTTCTCTTATAATTGTTTCTTAAAATAGTTTTAAATGAAAATAACATTACATGTTTTCCAATGCTTTTCGAGCTAAGACTTTTTAAGCTAATTACGTAGAAATTTGGGAAATATTAACATCTACAGCGCGTTGTTTTGCCGTATTTAAGGTAATTTCTAGCAATGTCTATAATTAATATATTATTGATCATTCGTGCATGATAAAGAGGCAAACCTTAGGAATTTTTTTATATTAGCTAGCAAATAGCACGCGATATAATTATATCGGTCTACACATGGCAATCAAAAATTCAAAAGCTAGTGGTGTTTTTAGAAAACTGATGATTTAATTAATAATTCGCAAGGGAATTGATCCTGGATTTTTTATTTTCGAATATATAAAGAAGATAAGATTCCGAGAATTTAATGAAACATTTAAGGGTCAAATCTGTTCTAATTATTGCTAGCATTCTGTTTTTTGCGCAAAACAATACACGCACGCATTTTTTGTGAAAGAAGGGGCTCAGGGGAAGCACTCCTATAGAATGCAATTAATCCTCCATTCAAAATACTCGATCTTAAATGGCCTTTAAATCACTGTTTTCCTAGGGTGTATATGCTCCCCAGACTCTGAAACTGCGCACAAGAGTATGATTTCACATATGCCTGTCGACGATATGTAAACATTCCAGTGACACATATATAGTTCAGTACTCTTAGTGCATGCGCGCAAAGTCGAGAACATGTGTTCAGCTAACGACTATAGAATTCTAGTTTAAATGTTTCACGTTTGTACTATTTCTATCGATCTAATCCACCGAATAAAACAAAGTTATCAAATCCTTTCCGTCATATATATTCTACTCCACAATGCCCACACGCTACATAATATTATACTATGAAACAGTAGCCCTAAGACATCAACCTGACAAGCAGCACACGCTAATTGGACATGCCGTATACGATTGAATGAGTCTATGGGCATATATATAGATTACAGACAATTGTTATAGACTGTTAATGGCCATGGTCTAATCTATGAGCGATATGTCAGCCAATAGAACACGAAACAACGTAGTATAGCGTTCGTCTTGTGTTATGAAATATATAGCGTATAGTATATAGCGTATAGTAAACTTTGCTGAAGCAATATAGGTAATTATATAATGACCACCATGCATGCATACATAGGTTAAGCGGCAATTGTCCCTTTTATTTTTGAACGGTGGAAGGGTGGGAAAAATTTCCGATTTAACAAATTAATAGCTTCTAATTTTGCAATCTGTATCTTTGAGGAGAGCGATTTGCTAAGTGAGAAGATGGAACATGTGCATTTTGCTTGTGCGCGTTTTTAGTACCGTACGTTCTTAATAAATTGAAATATAGTCAATTTTTTACAGCTTTATTTTCATGGTTGTATATTTATGTTACGGATTTCGTGATTTCTGATTCAACTTTTACCAGCTGATTTCAAATCATGACGTCAGTCAACAAAACAAATTTTCACACTCCCGGTGTTATTTGGCTCCGTGCTTCCAAATAGTGACATAAAGAGCGAAAAAAAGAATTTTAATAAACCGTTGAGTGAAAAACTGGGACATGTCGCTTTGCTGGGAAGCTTTCGTCCAATCGGATAATGCTTTTCTATGCTTTCTAAAGAACAAAGCTAGGCTATTGGTTGAAACAGAAATGCATTGTAAAGTTCAGCCAATGAAAATCATTCTTGCGAGGAGCTGCGACCCTACCGAAAAAGTACGTGTTTCAGCATTCCAAAGTCATATGAAAAGAAGGAAATTATAATTCAGTTTTGTCGAAAGTCTGGCTTCGAATAATTTATGTTGATTTTTTTACATATTAGCTCCTTCAATTTTGAGATATTTATGTAAAATTTATAAATATTCTATTGTTTTAAGACATGTTTTCATTAGAACTTTTGGGATCCTATACGGATTACCGAACGATTTTTTAATTACGCTTGAAATAAAAGTTGATGAATACATGTGCATAAACAGCTCGGGCGCATGCATAATTATTATTATGAAAGTAGTGCTTTTAAAATCTCACAATAACTTTACGAAGTCGCTATATAGTTGTTCTCGTAAAATTCGCGCGAGATGTTTCATCCTCGTACCTATTCCTCTTTGCTTGGGATCCCTCGAGGGATAGAGGACCTCCTCAATACGATATTATAACCGTGCATGCATCGAGTACGTACGTAAATAAATCTATTATCTTGTTTCATGTACAAGTATTTTTTTTATCTTACTGGCAAAAAGCTCTCTACGTAAAACACTCATGCATGTTATCTTATAGCTGTTGTACTATATAGCAGTCAAGTTCATTTCTTCACACATTGTGGACTTTTTCTTATATTTCTAGGACTAAAGATTGAAAAACCTCGAAATCTTAGAGCAACAGTTAATGGGAGCAAGGTACTTATTAAATGGCAGCCTTCTGTACCTACGCAAGGGGATGCCTATTACTACGTTGTAACTTGGAAAAGAACCAATAAAAACGAAACAGAGGACTACGCAATTGCTGATAATGACAATTCCTTCGTCCGTGATTTTGGCAGTAAGTATATATTGGGGTACAAGAGTAAGTTGCTGCTAAACTTAGTTATGATTTAACGAATGATTAACGAATTATTTGCTGACGGTTATGATGTATGTGATGCATGTTTGGATACATATAATATATGTTTTCGCACGTTATACAGTATAGACATATCACTGCAGTCCATGGACCGCTATAAAAGATTAACCAGAGTGCTTAGATACAAAACAAATTGTAATTAAGTTGCCTGATCCTGTACGGCTATTGACCGATCAAATTACGTGTTTCGCTCTAGTTATTATGTATTACTTATTTTTCCGACGCCGAAGGAAACAGTGTGTTTTGTGTCACAAAAACGTTTTTCACTAACTTAGTGATTTGTTATTATATCTAGTGTTAGTGAGGCCAAAGAACATGAAATTCATAGACATTACCTTTATGGTTAGCATATGATATAATTTAAAGGTAATTTCCAGTATCGCACGGTTGCTAGGAAAAGCATCGCAACGGGCAAAAAATTCCATAATTTGCCGGCCTAGGGAAAATTATTAAAAAATGCCCGCTTGTGTTGATCACGCCTAATCATGCAGATTTGAAGCTCTTTACGCGTGGACCTCTTGTCTAATAGGAAAGCAGAAAATATGAATTTTGACACTATAGGTATAAAACAATAGAATTTATTAGTGCGTCAATCATTAATGAGTGTGTCTACATCAATCATTCATGAGTGTGTCTATTTTTCCTTTAGATGCCACTGGTTTATACACAATAGGAGTCCAGGCTGGTAATAACGTTGGGATTCGCAGTGAATTCGCTTATCTTTACAACGTTTCAATAGGTGGAAATTATACCATCACAACACAGAGTACTAAATTAACAACCGCTCAGCATTCAAATACAACCACTCATACTCACGAATTGTTGAAACGAACGAATCCAACTGCAATGTCCATGCCTTTAATTGCTGGAGGTTCGACAGGAGCCTTTGTATTCCTCTGTTTGGCTGTGTTTATCTTTCTTTTCCTGCTGAGAAAAATTCAAAAGAAGCGACGAGATCGATCAATACAGGTAAATATTTTTATCACCTTACAGCACAATTTGTTTATTAGAGGTTGACTAAAACTCACAGTCACGATTTTAATGTCTGCACCCTCTGCATGTGTTGGAAAAATTCGTTTTCATTAAAACTTATGCATCTTAGTTCATGTATTAGCTTATACTGTGTTTATCTTTCATTTTCAACCCTGATGTTATTGCAATAATTCGACTTTCGTTTATACTTAATAATTTACGTACTGCTACAACCGTATTCAACAATCATGCACCATGTTGTCCGTTTTGGTAGGCATATTATTGAAACCTATCCATCACCAGAAATTCAAGACATTAATTACCAACACTCCAGGATTTCGCAATCAAAGATGGCTGCCTTGTAGGCAATAATTCCATTATAACAAGGCAACAATTTTTGATTGCAAAATCCTGGCGTTATGGTGATCAAAGTCTTGAATTTCAGGTGCTGAATTGTAATCTATAATTGGTAATCTGTATGTCTGCCCCACCCCAATTAAAATACCGGAATTTTCAAGGTGATACAAAGATTTTTCTGGACAGAAGATACAGTTCATATTCATTTAAACTTAAGCTATAGCGTATTATATAGCGTATAATTATATTATTTAAAAATTGCCGGAATTTTCAGGTGAATCAAATATGAAAAATATGAAAATACGGTTCATATTATTTAAACTTAGGCTATTGCTTATAAAATATTCGTGAAAGATATCCAGACAGCACACATAAAATCAATTATATATTTTCGGAGTTTACGCTAATCCAAACTGTTTTTGTTTCAGCCGTATACACTATTTTATAAATTCAGTGAATCAAATAACCTTGTCCACTGACTGCTTTTTGTGTTCCAGTGGCCGACATAATATTATGCCGTCTTGTTGACTTAATTGTTCGCGGTTAGAACCTCTCAACAACTTTTTGGACTAACTCAAACACAAATTTTGAGTACTTTGATTGGCTAAAAGCTAAAGGAAGTACCTATAAGATACAAATACGATACCAATTTAATCCAATTAATACATATCTGCTTGCGCGGGTATAAAAAAAACAGAAAATGCGAGGCAAATTCCAGACAAAAGATACAAGAAACAGATTAACATCAAGGCCTTATATAATGTAACGAACAAAAACGCTTTCGTATTCTGTCAAACCTAAATATCTAGATTTTTTTTTAAAAGTGGTAAACATCTGAGGCAAGCGCCAAGCAATGTAACAATTGTAATGCGTTAAACTGAGAAGTTTACATTGGCTGCGATCAACATAAAAATTATTCTGTTAGATTATTTCTATCAGTTTCCAGGAGATGTCTCTATTATAAATTTAATCGCAAAAATATAAATGAAATTCAAACAAAACCTGTGGATTTTTTTTTATTTGGTTGTATTTTTCATTTTCAGGAATTTGAATCCCGTTGGTTCGAAATTAATCTTCAAAAGACAAACGCTGCGATTGAACGACCAAACCGAAGTAGCGGTTAGTAATTTACGGTTGCATATAAAAAGTATGGATTATGCTAGCAACTTTATATTTCCTCAGTTAAATTCAATAGTAAATTTTATGAAAATAGCTGGAATCAGGGTAAGCACAACCTTTAGAATGCTATTGTGGCGTGATATGACTTTAATTGGCATCACGTACGCGCTGATCAGGTAATCATGCACTAGCTGAGATGAATAAACCTGGAGTGCCTGCTCCTCTCGAAAACCGTTCGCAAAAGTATTCGTAAAAAAATGGCGTCAGCAGAGGTAATTTTTCTCATAGTATGGCAGCCACTGTCCGCGTGTGCGCTGGCTCAGGTTCAGCTATTAACCAATCAAAAGCCAGAGTCTCTTTGCCAAGATACATACCATATGTTTGTTTTATTTGCCCGTTTCAATGAAAAAGAGTTATTGAAGTGTTCTATATGTTCCCGAAGCATTTTTCTTTGAATAAACTGGTAATATCTAACGATTTTAATATGCTTTCAAAAGTGTTTAAGGTGATTTTGGAATTGCACCAGTTAATTTGTGTTTCAAGTGGGAATATGCTGGGAAGTATTGCCCCAAAATACGCTGAGATTTGATACTGGTAAAAGATTTTATCTATTTGTTGTTAGATGCAGAAGACTTTCTATTTACCTAGGTCAAGGCTTCATTAAAGCAAAATTAATTTTGCCTTTGTAGCTATGAGTTTAAGAAATATATATAATAATAATTATAGCTATATTTAAAAGCGTTAAAAAAACATGATGGGCTTCGTCTTTGTATTCGTATTCATATTGTTCAAGGAAAAATGATTTGTGGAAAACATTACCCTATTGAAACTATTTTTGAACTTTTTTCATACTTTTCGTAGGTGACAAAAAGTGCTAAAATTCCGATAAGTGTGTTTAAAAAACCCAAGAGAGTAAGAAATTTCGTTACAGGTTTAGGGAAAAAAAATTTTCTGGTTTAATTTCCCCCCCACGATACGTTGTTTATCGCGGTCAGTGGATGCCCGGGTGAAAGTATTGACCTCTGCTGACGGCAGTTTTTTATCTCAGACTCCAGGTTTATTATGTCAATGTAGTGATATCATTCGTCTTGCATAAGTCACTATATCGACTGTAGTTTGGCAATACTAATCTCAAACTCTTATTGTGTGTAAAGTTATTTGTCTCACTTAAGTGAGAAAAATATTTTTTCTTCAGAATCACGCCAAAAGAAAATATCATACGTTGCACTATTGAAGCGCTGGCAAATCTCGCCAAACAGGCTGAAGGTACTGAACAAGCCACTGGGAGTTGGACAGTTTGGTATTGTTAAGAAAGGTTTATACTCACCTCAATCTGGCGGCGATCCTAAAGATGTTGCTGTGAAAATGTTAAAAGGTTAATAGTTAACATTAATAAATTAAAATTCTGAACAACTAAGAAGCCATAGTAACTTAGGTATTGCCCATTTGAAAGTAGTCCAAAGTCTTAATACTCCAGACGAAGCGACTCCTCGTGCATTGCGCACACAGGTATATAATTTTTATTTGGAACAGCAAATATATCTTTTTATTTGTCCATTTTAATTTGGATATTATTTTCAAAATATTATTTCATGTATTTAGATAATGCGACACAATCTGCTCTATCCAACCTGTTAGCCGAGTTAAAAATTCTAAAAAAAATAAATAAAGAGCCACACCCAAACGTCATAAGATTCATCGGTGGTCTTTTTACGGAAGGTATGCAACATGTATTTTGCAATAACTATCCTGCTTTCCTTTCGCGTTTTCCTTGGATTTTGTTTTGTCCTGCACAGTATGCCAGGTTTTAGGAAAAAATCCTTGCGGAATTAATATTCTTAAACAGCATTCAATTAAAATGTTTCCTTACTTTAGACCAACTCATGGTTGTAACGGAGTACTGCTCTTCCGGAAACCTGTTAAAGTTTCTAAGAAGAAGTAAAGTTATTGATACTGAATCTAACGCATCTCATTCGGAAAGCGACAAGCTAAATTCAACATTAAGCTCTTGCCAACTTCTGAAGATTGCCGTCGAGGTGTCCAGTGGAATGTTATATCTTTCAAAACAGAAGGTATATTCACCCATTATTATTAATATAGTTTCATCAGTCAGTTTCTCCTATTTCATAATCAACTAAATAGCAATTAATTAACAATCACTATAAATTTTAAGCTTGTCCATCGTGATTTGGCAGCCAGAAATATTTTGCTTGGCGGGGAAGGTAACGTGGCGAAAATTTCAGATTTTGGGTTGGCGAGGGACATCAGAAATACTCAAGCATATATAAGAACTAACCAGGTAAAACATCCTAAATGAACTGTAAAAGTTGCTACATTCATATTAACGTATGTATACGGTATGACAACTCTATTTTATTAGGCGAAGAAAAAGAAATTATTACTCTGAGAATTACGTAATTTTGAAAGATTGAGTAAAAAGTACTAAGTTCGCGTATATAAAAAGTTTAAATGATGTATTGAAACTTTTTCTCTTCCTTTTATTTGTCTTAAACCAAACGTCTTTGGTTCGACGAATTAAGATTAGAATGCTTATTAAATAACCATGAAGCGCAACTCCCCATGAGTTAAAGATGACGTACCTGTAAACAAATTTTAGTGTTCGTGGTCACTGTAGTCTGTGGATCCGGTTTTCATTGCTCTGACTACAGAAAAGGTTTATATTATTGCCATGTCAAAGGGTCATCTATTGTGTCCTTAAACTTTAATTAACGCAAAAATATTTTGTCTTTGGTAGTAAAATTAATAATATTTACAGCGTTATAAACCTGCATGCATGAATTGTTAGAAACGTGTATTTTTATAGGACTTACTTCCAGTAAAATGGATGGCTTTGGAAAGTTTAACCGAAGACCGTTTTACAACCGCCAGCGATGTGTGAGTTGATATGTTTCGTTAACTTATAATGTTATATGTACCAACTATAGCAAGATATTTACTTGTATTCCCCGGGCCCGTGCATGCAGAGTACTGTGGGATGGTACTAATTCCGCCCGGAGATTAGGAACTACACCCGCGGAACCCAGGAGAATAATTTTTTGTAGCGGAATCCAAAGTTGCCCAAATGTCATGAACGTTCAATGGTCATGGTGTTTGTACACATGCGCGATGCCAATGAAATGGCAAATTGTTTTTCGTATATGTTTTTTATTTTTAACAGTCTTTTAGCCTTTTCCAGAAAGGTTTTCACACATTTAGCCGTACGTTGCTTTGGTTTTGTCGTTCTGTGTACCTTTTTAAACAAATACACATGAAAATTATATTTTTTTGAAAACATCGTGTCAATTGTCAAAGATTATGAACATTATAGATAAAGCACTGAGTGTTTAAAAGTCAAAACAAACTGAAAGAAAGATATACCACAATGGTAGAAAAATGCGTTTTTTCTTTGGATATCAGACAGCCAAAAACTGCGAAAGCTATTTGTTGTGAATCGCGAATATAAGGGGCCTTAAGATTCACAATTTTTTTCCAGTTTAGTTTTGAAACTGCAGAAATGAAGACAGTTTTACTTCACGTCTGTATCGTAGATTTGGTATTATCCACATCTATAGATATCTTCCATGCTCGCCTGATCGATATAAATATTGAATCAAACTGTAGTAATTGTAGGCCGGAAGCCTTTCTTTGATCTCCGATGTTCCTCAAAAAACAATGGTACAAATTACAGGTCTGAAAAACAAATCTCCATATGCATAAGCAGAAAAATTGCTAAAATATGACTTGGATTTTAATCAATATTTTATATAAATTGGAACAATTAAATTAAGGCAAAGTTTTATTTCGTCAATGCCTTATTGTACGCTAATTTTGCATATTATGCGCATGGCATGCATTAAATGCAGAAACTAATTTCAATGTTTTTGTTTTTATTCAGATGGAGCTTTGGCATTCTTCTCTATGAAATTGTGACTTTAGGTATGTATATATATATTGCACTACACGGGATGCGAGACCGCGTAGACTCCGAATTACACCAAATATAGCACCAATAAGATGACAACATAATTATAGTTAGGCGTTTCAAATTACTACAATTTTCAGGTCAAGAACCATACAAAGGTGTATCGCCGTATGACATCAAAGTGCACGTCGTTTCCGGGGGGCGCATGGAGAAACCGTCCCACTGCTCGAGTGAAATGTAAGATAATTAAATTAAGGTTTCGTTCGTAAATAAATAAGTCTTTATACCAACCTCTGGTTTTCTTTGGCACTCAATAGTTTTGGTGTAACTATAAGCTAATACATTTATTGATGAACATGAACTTCAAATGAGAGTGAATATATCGGAGAAGTGAAGGATGACCACGTTTTCCATCATTAAGCTTATATATTAAAGCTTTAAGCTACAGTCAAAATACGCGTAAAATACAAAAATTAATAATGTTTCCTAATTAGCCGACAGGCATTAGAACACCCTAGAATTCACTCGAATTGTGGTATGGAAAAAATTGCAAAAGGCTAGCTGTGCAAAAAATGTTTTACTATAGCAGTGAGATATGTTTCTATTTTTTTACAAATTAATCCGCTGCGGGTGGATTCCTATAGCCTTTCCTACAATCTGATTAGCTGTAGCAGCCGGCAGAATTTTACGATATCTGACCACGGTCCGGAATTTGTTTTCTTTTCTAAATATTTATTCGCAAACCTTTTTGACTTTTTAATTTCAAAATATATGGACCAAATGATTATCGTGATAAATTGAAGTGAGTTTTAGTAAATTAAACAAATGAGGTTTCGATTGTTTATGTTTTTTTCGGCGTTGCTGAGTCTGACTAAGACTAAACGCCGCTTTTATTTCCCACCAGTCACGAACAAAACAATCCTTTCTCTTTCTTGACAGCTATGGAATAATGTTAGACTGCTGGAAAGCTGAAGCAAACGAACGACCGAATTTCTCAGAAATATCGAAAAGTATTTATGGTATGATGAATGAATCCCAGGTAACTCTCAGTAAATTAGATTATTATTCTACAATTGAATAAAA